TTTTTCTTACAACCAAATAATAAAAAACTTTCAGATATACAAAATTCCAAAAAGCGACACTAACATGATAGCAAAGCCGATTGATAAAGACCACACCCCCCGGGGGCCCCTTCCAACTATCCCCCTAAAGGGAACACCCCCCCCCCCCACCTGCGGGACAAACAATAATTGCAACCATTTCCCAAGGACTTTCCAAGGTTCACATTCGACTGTCAAGGACCACCTACCAGTAATGTAATCTCACAAATTGTACAAAAATGCACATTCCCAGTCTATTCTAACAAGACATTTAAGACTTGACCTGTTTGCTTCACCGACTTCTCTACATTTTTCAGTTCACCGGTCTTAAATTGGTAGTTAATTATTGCATAAAACAAAGAGCACTTGATGTAAATAACCTTTGAATTCTCTGAGCTATGATTTATATTCTGCTATGTAGTGGCAGATCCTGGAAAGGGCACCCCTCCTTCATTTTTAGACCAAACTTAGGTCTGAAGAGCTGAAAAAATTTGTTTTTGAGACTGGCCCCCTCCCTTTTTTCTGGGTCTATTTTACATGTAGTCAACATACAGTCAAGTAAAGGTTGGCTACATGTGACTATATTATACAAATCCACTGTTCCTTTTGATAACATAGACAGTTTAATTTTGACTCTGAAAGGATTACAATTGTATTACACTGAAAAGACTGGAATCCACAGGACAGCCATGCCCACCAGGCTAAAACCTGCTTTAGAGTTTTCCTCGCATGCTTTCAAGTTACAAAATGAAAATCACACTTAAATAACTTATATTGTAAATGTATGTACAAGCTAAGGAGCAATTTTAAAATGTACACAAATGTGCAGAAAGTAAAAAGACCTACTTCTGAGTTGTTCTAAGCCTCTTCATCAAAGAGAGGCCTAGTTCACAACCATTCAAATCAAAATCAGTTTCAATTCCACGTGAATGGGACCCACTCTTTAAAGAGGCTTGAAGAACTTCCAAAATGGCAACTTCATAAGTACTAATAGACATGACATTTTGCCTTTTATTACCCATTTGATGTGAAAAGGTTTTCGCATAGGCTTTAAAAGTTTAAAACAGAGAATATTATAATTTGTAAACATTAATAAAATGAACCCTGGTAAAACAAAACCTTGGTGTAAAGAACGACATTTGTTATACATTGTACGCGTGTAAAGAGTTTCTAAGTTGTAATTCAAGATTTTTACGAGCTACTGTTCCCCAGTGACCTATACCCCTCCATGAACTTCTACATTTGGAATTAAAACCCTGTTTTTTTTTTTCACTTCCTATAATAAAGAGTGTTATTAATAAAATATTTACAATGTATTCTGTTCTTTCATTATCAACTTGAAAAGCTCATTTTGGGTTGTTTCCAAGAACAACTCCATTATTCATTCCCAACATCATCAACTTTGCATGAATCTTCAAGTGGTTTGAACATTATTTACCATCGACAATTTTTAAATAGTGATTTAAGCACTTTTTTCTTCTTCTTTTGTGTTAAAAATGCCTTTGAAACCAGTTTGTTTCCTTATAGAGCAAAAGTATCACCCAGAACCTCTTGACATTTTCTAAGTGGTGAAAATCAACCCTATTCAAGGCCCAAACACCCCATTCAAGGAAAAAACAAAAACTAATGATTAAATGGAATGAACTAATACTACTTCTTAAATTTCTAAGAGATCAGTTCAGTTTTTAAGAGATTTTTGCTTTTTGTGTAGCTCAGCATTGAAGCACTTGAATTTTAGCTGCTACAATTTAGGTAACTCTATCTAAGGATCAAAGCACTAAAACAATGCCACCATGGGCAAAAATGATACCCTATTTAAAGATCATGACCCTCAGAAACCATATCCTCTCTGCCGTCACACACATATCCAACCCATGTATGGGAGTGCACCCCTGAGGAAAGCACCTGTCCGAGAGACCAGCAAAAATTATTGTTTCCCAGCCCTTGTCAAGTAACATGCTGTTTTCTGTCAAAAGTTATCTACAATTCAGCACAATTATCCAGCTCATAAACTGGAATAAAACATATATATAATAATATGTATAATGTTAATTAAAAATTTCAAACCACAAAGCAATGAGCTTACACTGTAAATACACAGCATAAAAGAAAAATAATATATTTACAAAGAAAAACCTAGCCTGAGAAAAAAAAGCTTTCATTTCATGGGGCCCCAAGCATGGTTGTACTGCATGGGAAATTTGTTTCAACCAGTCAGAAGCACTAATCAGGTCTGGGTAGTGATGCGTCATTAGTATACAATTTCTGTGCTATTTCAGTGATTTTGTCACAAACAGTTGAGCTGAGTCCTGGGACTCTTCTTGTGAAAAATCATGAGTCCTAGTCCAGATTCATTGAGTCCCAGTTGAAAAAACAATGAGTCAAAAATTGAAAATGCTTGCACCTTTATGTAACCAGACAGTTACTCTGAAGACAGACTCCAAAACTCTGTACTGCAGTATACTAAAAATTAAAATGTAGTCCTTCTACATGTATTTTAAAGCACATCATAGGCTTAATGAAATATGCATTGTTAAACAACAGCCATAATAACTGCCACAGTAATTATTTGTACAAAAACACATGTGCAGATACTCGAGCAATTGATCTTTGTGTCCTATGGTACACATGCCATGATTGTATTCCTTGGGGGTTTTACGTTGCCTGACGCAGGACACAGAGGTAACAAAATCCCTGCTATTTTCTCAGACGTCATTTTGCACGAAAAACAGTGATGGCATCACGAAATGTCAGCTATTTTCTCAGGCTAACAAAAACCTGAACAGGCTGATTGAGTATCAACTCAAACAACAATATTATTGCCTAGGTTTACAGGGCTTTTACTACCCAAACTTGTAGTAACATGTACCTTACACAGTGTCCATCTCACAGTCTGAAGAATTGGGAGAATTCTTTCTGGAAGGAGAGGTACTTGATGACATAGACTCAAGATGTTCCTCATGTGACACAGAAATCTCAGGAGTCAGTCTTGATCGCAGATTGGAAATGTCATCAAGTCTTTCTGTGATCCCAGGTATCTCCAAACTGAAGCCATTTGTTTTTGCAAGATTCAGAGCATCACGGCCATATATTTCTGCTTCCTGCAAGTTGTTCTGTCGGAAATGGAGATCTGATTTTGCCACCAGGAACTGGATTTTTTGTGCTTTGCTCATTTCATCCATGTATTTTTCGTCGACAGTTTTAAGACAGTTCCGTGCCTCGTCAACACACTTAGTGCTAATGATTTGAGAGCGAGTTGGTCTTGTGCGGCAGTTGAGGGCCATTAGGGCAAGCTTAAGTAGAGCAAAATGATGTTTTTTAATGTACACCTGGTCGTCATCCAGTTCAATGCACAGACTGATACAGAGCTTCAAGTAATTTGTAGCGTCTGACACAAGCTGCTCACGTGCTAATGCATCGTTTGGAATGGTTGAAATATACTTGGTCAGGTTGCTAGCCATTTCGTAGAATATGAGTGCCTTTAAAAATCGTGAATTTACTTGTTGGGAATATTGCTCCGCTATAGCAATGCACTTCTGTGCCTCGCCATGTTTACAAAGGCGACGATAAATTCCAGTAAGATGGATGTGAGCCATACTTACAAGGAAGTGATAATTAGTTGGCGAAATCACTTTCGTTTTGTACAGGTTATCTAGGGCACCGAGAATAATCATTTCTGATTGCTCTAAATCGTTCTGATAGCTCTTAATCACAGCGTTTTCAATTGATAATAAAATCTGTATCTCTCGATCGACTTGATTTTCGCGGTGAAGAATATCAATACTTTGATCAAATCCACTCCAGTTTCCTGCATCCCGTAATGGATGCAATTTGTTCAAAACAGGGAAAAACTTGCCGAGTGATTTTGCCGTCCTCTGTTCGCCATCTCGCGGAACCACTGGAAAAATCTCTGGCGATTCTAAACGCATGGTGTCATCTTCACTCTCACTGGATATCCTTTTAGGATTCGCCCTCAACTTTCTTTTGGGAAATTGTATTATACTTTGATGCTTCATTCCATGGCCGCCATCTTGGATCGCGGTTTTTTTTCGTGCCGATCGACGAGCTCTTGACCGCTCTGGATACTCAAGGCATCGGCAGTAATTGACAGTATTTCCATTACCAATTAACAGATTTTTAAAGCTGGAGTTAGATATATTGACATGAAATTCACCGACTTGTGGACTACCCGCCATCTTGCGCGCCGGGCGGGAAGATTCGAAGGCTTCGTTGCTGTTTCATTCGCACGTATTTGATTGGCTGAGACATTGAATATTGAGCCTGCGTTGTAGCGTCGGTGGACTGCGGCTTCTTATTTAAAAAAACGGGAAATGGGAAAAAATGGCGGGAATCAAAACTCTCACCCCATACCCTAGGCCAAACTGAAAGGGAGCCCGACAACAGTGGGGTTACAATGGAACTTCTGTTCGGGGACACCATCGGGCTCGCTCGGGACCGAGGCAAGTATCTCCTGAATAGAGGTTGGGTTGGGGTTTGTGCATGCTGCAACGTCTAAGTTTAGGTTCCATGTTTTCACTAAAGTTCTTCGTATATTCTAAGTAACATAGTGCACACAGCGAAAATAGAGATCAGAGAATGCGTCAAGTGGTCGCTTACAAGAGGTAATAAGCAATGGAAAATCATTAATCATTAATCAAAAACCATTAACCGTTAGGGCCAAAAAGAGGTCGCGGTCGCTACAGGAGGTGGTCGTTTACTAGAGGTTCCAAGTAAGGCCTTGACTGGGAAAATTTTAGGTTTAACTGGGTGTAAGAACCTGTGAATGTTTTCTTTGTTTTGCACATTTTGTTTTGCTAGGTTTGATTGTGCTGACTTCTTTGTTTCCTTATCTTTACGTCACCCGTGAGTTTCACAGCCTTTTTGGTTCTTACACCGAGGATGGGGCGGGGGACACGGCCCGGTTACCGTTGTAGAGAGGAGGTGGCCGTGGTAGAGAGGTTTAAACAACAGTCAATGTATGGACTGTCTCTTTTGACAAAAAAAGTGGCCGTATTTGACATCGTTGTGGTTACTGTATAGTTAGCGAGGTCACTCACGGCGTCATTTTAAGTGCTAAGATTTCCCAAAACGGGCTTGGGACCCAGAAAAAGTGTCCCTCTTCCCTGAATAGAGATGTTCTTTAAATAAACTTGATAAAAGATTATGTAAACATTTTTCGGGGACCAAGTTTTGCGTCCCCTTAATGATGGTGAATAGAGGTCTCCAATACACTGTACCATACAGAAAGAGTGGGAACTTTGAAAGTATTAAATTGAGATGTCAATAACTGTGAATGTGGTTGTAGAATTTGATCGTTAAATATCTTTGAATGCGCATGTGATTAACTTAGATTTCTTAAGTTTAAAGAACCGCTATGCGTCGATCAAACTTGCGCACGCACAGGCTTGTAAAAAAGAAAAAAAAGAGAGAGAGAGAAAAGACATGGATTCGGTTCGCTTCAGACACAGTTTGTATTTTGGTAAGAAGAGAAAGTGCGTCTCTGATGAGCAAAGTATACATGCATGTACGGTCATTCACATAGAATTTTCTCTCCCATTGGTTCTAGTTTAGATTGCACATCGAAAATGTGTTAACTAAGGCTGTAATAGCTCAAAATTTTCCTTCAAGTGTGAGAATTGAGAATTTGGTCCACAGGCTCGAAAAGAATTCCGACGGAATGAAGTGTGGAGGAAGACAGGGGGCCACAGCCCATAAAGAACACTATACACGGATAGGACATCCGAATTTTTCTCACTGAGCCCCATACACTAACATGTATGAAAAAACATAGACAGTGTACAGACAGAGATGCTCTTTGCGCGTTTTATTTAAGTAGTCGCACGTTTCAAATGGTAATCGTACAAATTTAGCTTCAGATATTAAAATGAACATTAAATGTTTTGCTTTAAGAGGAAAATGTGGAAATGAGATGGTTTTCAAGTGCACAGTATCTCGTCAATTACTAGCCTGCTTAGCAAGCGTTTCCGCGCGAGTTCGTCATATACTCATATACTCATTCTCCTCATTGTTTTCAACACAGTTTCTTGGTAATGATGTGGAGAATATGTTTAGTGATCAAGGCCTTTTTAACTTAACTTGTTGATCTTTTTTTTTTTTACTCTCTGATCACTCTCAAGGGTTGAGGAGTCAAAGTCATTCGTTCCGTTCTTTTTCTTTTACTGGGTTTTTACACCTTTTTATAATTATTATACCTCCTCATCCCAGTTGGACCTTAAAAACTCAGTTAAAAATGAGAAAGCTTGTTTTATGAGCCAGTGAGTCACGAGTCAAGTTATGAGTCAGGTCACTGAGCATTGAACACTGAAAATAGTGATCGAGTTTAAGCACTGACGATGGTGATTAGGGTGAGCCACTGACTCGAAGTGGTTAGCATTCATTCAGATTTAGGTTTGTAGCAGTTACTGGCGCGCAAATCTAAGAGAGTCGAACCATTGACTCATGACTTATTGACTCATCACTGACTCCTGCCTCACGACTTATTGCAGACTCATTTATTCTCGTTAAAAATATATTACACACAGAATCACAAGTTACCAGTTACCATTTCATGTGCCTGAACTGTCAAAACTGTTCTTCGTGCACATCAGTTGTCTCTCGTCAATTATTTAATGGCCCACACGAAATATATATGTACTTCTATCCCTTTCCACAGTCGTTTAAGAGAAGGAAAGGACGAAGGAATTGCATTGGAAGAATGCTTCGCATTCGTGTGTAAAAAAATTTCATAGAAACCTGTTTAAAATAACGGCAAGCAAAAACATGAACCAGGTACGACCTGACCGAATGGGTTTTTGGAAAGCGAAAATTGGCGGATTTTTGTTCTCTTATAAATCTACTCCGTTATAACACAATATAACACGATATCTAACCTCATTCTTTTACCGTTACTGACCTGTAAATCAGCCGGATGATGATCGTTCATGCTTCACGAATCTTCACCGACCTTTTCTCCCTGAGACATAAAGGGAGGAACCCACAGTCTTTTTATACACAGGAAAAAAATTGTGTTAAACTTAGTAAACGTATTGTGCAAATTAATGATGGTTGCGTGACAAAGCCTCGGCAGGAAGGCGTGACGACGTATGCAATACTAATCTACTTGAAGTGCAAGTGCTTTGGCCATCAGTCGGTCTGTCATGGGAGCCTTTTCCTTTTTTGCTTTTCTTTCGGCTAACAAACATCTAAAAACAAAAAAACAACCGATAGTTTACTGAAATATTCATTTATTCATCTGACGTTAACCTGGGCACTAAGGGTTGAGAGTCCTCAATATGGTTCTTCAATCCCGTCATTCCCACCCAAATTCTCGCGAAATCCCGTAAGTCCCGATGGTTATTTTCAGGATCCCACATCCCACGCATGCTTTCAATCCCGAATCTCGCCCCCATGTTTCTTTAAAATCCGGAATCCCACCAAGTATTAATAATGCAAAACACGGATCCCGAAAAACATATTCGGGACTCTCAGGGCTGTGGTTACGATCCCAGAATTGGTACAAGGGGAAGAATGTTTACACGCTTGAGAGCACAACTTCTCATAGTTAGAAAAACGCAAAAAGAAAGACATTTTGCAAACTTCTGTTTTAGATGTTTGTAAGAATTTCTCGTCATGACGAGCTATATTGCCACAGAATACTTAAATGAGTGCTTTAGACATTTAGACGCTTGGAAATTGTTGGTTCCTGTTCTTTCCTCGTTTTCAACTTATTTTCATGGTTTAAATATCGATGAAACAATCCTAATGATTAAAATTTCACTCTGCATTTGGATATGAGAGAAAACTCCTTTCCAGCTCGTTTTTACAGATCACCTCACGGTGTTTGGATATCAAATAAAACACACTTTCTCTTGTTAAAACGACTTTTCTCTTAAGAGGTTCCTCGTCTCGAGGGGACGTTGAGAATCCACTTTTTTCTCGGGATCTTTCTAAGTTCTACTCTCCCATCCTCTGAACGTCTTAGAGCTAACAATGCCAGGAAAGAGGCCTCTGGAATCTCAAACGTAAGCTAAATGATCAAGGCATAGTATGATTAGACATTTCGATGCTTCTAACATCATTACCGAGAAACACAATAACGGTTACAGATAACATTGTACGAAAAACAACGTTCAAATACCTCACAAACTGGTGATCTTGCTTACGATGTGACTGCAATCCAGCGTGGATCAAAAACAGCTCGTAGACATCGCGCTAAAGAAGGTGTATTGAAATGCCTTTAAAAACTTGGCACAGATAAAGTCGTAGTATAAAGAACTCTTATCAAACTACGCTGCGAAGAAATAAAGAAGCTGTCCCTTGCTGGATGACCAGAAAGAAATGTTCTCTCTTTAAGTTATTTTAGTTATATTCTTCCTTTCTTAACATCAGTTTGTTCTTGGCAAATTCGATCACTAAATGATGTTTTATAACAAAGAGTGAAAAGGCAGCTGGGAACATTACCCATAATACATACCCATACTACGTTTCCACAACGCCAAGAAACACCCACAAAATTGCAAGTACAAAAATAACAAGCAAAGCTTAACAAGATTAGTCAGTTAGAGCGTAGGTTGGTTACGCCACACTGAAGAAGACGTTATCCGCTAGGAGATCGTTTACACCGTTCAGGGTGGACGGAAACGATGATAAACTAGACAGTAAGTGACGCAAACTTCCTGAAACTGCACGTTTTCACTCAAGGCATAAGTCCATAAACAGTATCTTTAAACTAAAGAACAATCAACATTTCCTCACCTGCGCTCGACTTCCACCTAACAGGTTGATTTTGTAACGCAAAGGTTTCAATATCTCCACCGCCTTGTCGAAATTGCCCTGCAAAGACGGTTGATATGTTTCTGTTACCACAACATACTAAAAAAATATTGTCAGTTTTCGTTAGTTACTTCCCTTTCGAAAAAATAGAAATCTCTCCATACCTTATCAGCCTCCACAAAAGCTTCACACACAGGGACACCAACTTCACGCGATATTTCACAGTTTGAACCTGAACTATCGCTGGTGAAACAAAGGAAACCATATGGCAATTTCTTTGGAAAGGTACTAAAGCCTTAATCTACAGATCGTCCGTTTATATACAATTTAATTGTTTTTTGGGGGGAGGGGCGGAGGAGGGTTAAAGTGGAGGGGAGAATAATGGCCTTCCAATGCGCGGAATTAACGGTGGGCAAACTATTTATACGAAGTGTAACAAATGTGCTATAAATGGCGTGGAATAGTTCGTGGGCTAAGCCAGTATTTTATTAAGTAATTAAGTCATTTTTATTTTTAACGTTGGTCCTTTTCATAAGCCTTATTGGCTTCCATGGGCTCCCTTGCCTCATCTTTCTAAATTCTGTGTATATATTTAATGTAAACTGGAAAATGATAATAAAACAAACACAAAAACTTGTGGGCCGAAGCCCTAAACTTGATGTCGTTCAGAGAAATGTTAAGAGGCGAGGCCGGCTAAATTGAAACGGGTTGAAAACTGCAGTTTGGTTAACTCTATCTAAGCTCAGTCTAAATAAGCGACTCAGTTGCTTTAGTAAGGATGAGTTAGGTGGAGTGGGAGTAGGTACTGGCAATTTGCAATCGCGCGTATGCCTGAACCGTTGATGTAACGAATTCCACTGGTATGAGGACGCTATCGCTTTTTTCATTGGCTATTACGAGGTTGCGCGGGAAACTGAGGTCAATTCACCACCACCGACCCAAACGCAAACGCAACTTGCGGCCTGTCATATCCAGGATTATACTATACCTAACGTATGTCTTCAAAGAATTCAACAGCTTCACAGTCAGCTCTTCATTCTTAGCTCCCAGTGTACTCATCATCATGTGTGAGTCTGTAAAAGCCTGTACAGCAAAGGATTGGTGTTATTTCCTTCAGAACGTGCATAACGCGATCCACTGGATAGCGCAATTGGTTTCACTAATAATTATCCGCTAGATAGTGATTTCTCCGCAGTATATCGGTTTCCCACGACACAAAAAAAACCTGGGTACTGAGGACACTGAGACGAGGACAACAGGCGATGAACCCCCCCACCCCAAGCACATTCTACTCTGTTTCAAAACAACCGTGCAAATTCTTTGTCTTAATTTTTTTTTGTCACTCCAGTTCAAATTCAGAGTCCATCCCCGTATATCAATCAAGCTTTGTTGGTTAATTCCTTTTCCAAAATATCAACCTTTTTTCCTGCTGTCCTTGAAGTAAAAAGTGCATGGTAGTTGCATTCCCTCCTCATCCATTTGCTTATTTGCTTATTTCCGGTTATTTGCTTCGAACTACTGATAACTCGAACTCCCGATAACTCGAACCTTTTTCGATTTCCTTAGAAGGTTCGAGTTATCGGGAGTCAACTCTAAATATATTCTGCACTCACCAAAAAATGATCATCCGCATGGCTTTCCCAATATCGACACAGCTGTTGCCATCTATCGCCAACATCAACCCCTAGACAATAAAGGAAAAGAACTGTACAGTACCGCAAATGATCCCCGACGGAGACCGCAAGTGATCCCCAATATGGACCACAAATGATCCCCGAGACCGCAAGTGATCCCCAATATGGACCGCAAATGATCCTCAACCTAGACCGCAAATGATCCCCAAACAATGCCGCAAGTGATCCCTAAAATGGACCGCAAATGATCCCCGACCAAGACCGTATGTGACCCCGGAAGGAAGGTAAATGATGGTTACTGTCGACCACAAATGATCCCGAAAGGAAAATCAGAATGGTTTGGACAGAAGTTACTGTATCACAGTGTCACGGTATATTATCATAATACAAAGTGTAGGACTAACCTTCAAAGGTTAATCGGTACAACAGAGAAGAACCATCAGACAACTGAAACGTCTTCTGGGCACCGCATCTCGGCAAAATCTGTAAACAAAACACTGAATTGTTTCAAACAGCATTTAACACGGGTACTCTCCCTCGGTATTGATTACTACTTCGTGTACAGTGGTTCTAATTTTGTAGAAATTGTCTGTGGAGTTTAAAGAAAAGAAGAGCGCTTCTGAAAAATCGTCATGTTTTGAACTCCACGATTCTTAGGGGGTGGGGGGGGGGGAGGGGGCGGCCATACACAGGCTATTGAATTAACAGAGGCATAGTTTATTATGCAGAACAGGGCAGTTCTAACTTAAACTTTAAGTCGGGATAAAATCCTCAAGTGTCACCAATGACTATTCAAATCAAAGTTATTGAGCACTTCTCCATAACGTTCTAAACGGGCTTTTTAGTCAGTGGATTAGCAGAACTTACCTCATTATCATATATATTTAAAGCACCTTCATAATCTCCCTGGTGAAGAAATAAACAAACAAAGCGACGGTATATTCAGCACTTGAAGAGCTCATTTTTTTGGAGGGAGGGGTAGGTAGGGCTGCTGGAGGGGATGTCCTTCACGATAATTGAAGGTTTGTGGGTATCAATTCTGTAGGGAAAACTCTAGGTTCTTTTCTTCTGCCTCGCCTATGTTGCGGACTAAACAGAAACATCTGATTCACACTCATATTACAAAATTTATGACGTAGGTTCGAATCCCACAGCTGCCACCATGTTTCAAGTCAGGTTCGCTTGCAGGGAACATACGATTCAGGTAAAGACAGTTTCACTGAAACTAGCACAAAGATCAAAGCACACAAATCAAACCCCTATGTGAGGACATTTTTATGACACTTGGCAACCAATCTGTCTAACTATTTGGGTGCGAGACGATGATCCTCTTTCCCTTCCCGGCTTTCAAACGCCTGCCACGCCCTTCGCGCTTCTCACGCAACCAAAATTCTCTTTCCATTCCCTTTCAAACGCAACGCCTGCCACGTCACACGAATTAAGTAATCAACAGCTTGATCCTCTTTCCCTTCCCGGCTTTCAAACGCCTGCCACGCCCTTCGCGCTTCTCACGCAACCAAAATTCTCTTTCCATTCCCTTTCAAACGCAACGCCTGCCACGTCACACGAATTAAGTAATCAACAGCTATTGTAACACATCTCCACTCAAAATAGCCTCCACACAGAGATTTGTAGAACTTGCCTGCGCGCAAGGGAGGGCTATACACAGGGAAGAGGCATAGAATTTCATGCTGTTTGAAGTGAAGTGTGAAATGCACTAGCCTTTTAGCCTGAAACTCTACAAAATATCTGTACCTTTTCGATGTAATACAGAGCCCAATGCCAGAAATTGTGACTGGATAGAGACTCACATGACTGTAAAGAAAATTAAATAAAATAGTCATCATAAAATTTCTCTTCTTAAAATAAAACCTTTTTTTCAGAAGACCGAAAGGGATAAAATTAAAAAATAATGATTTTACAACTTATCCTCCATCTATTTCGGGCGCACCCGCATCGATTTGATTAGTCTATCCCTCCCCCGTTTGTAGCCCATGATCGCATGACAGATGCAATATATAAGACCGGTGTCACTCTGTAGTTGGTCAATGAATGTTATTACTGGTCGCCCACTTGAGCGTCTGCCGTGTTTTGGTTCCCAAAGAGGTAGTTAGGAAACAGTGTCATTCTCACTTCTTCAAAAGTGGCCACTAAACTGCAGCCAACGTATCTGGAGACTTGTTGAAAGACAACTTATAATACATGTGTGAAGTTTTCCAAGATGCATCTCTTAATGTTGGCCTACAGCTGTATTTTACAATGTACCTCACAAGAAGCTGATAAACTCAAAGTTTAAAATATACTGATTTTCACAGAAACTGACACGTACCACCCAATCATCTTGAGTTTTGCTCATAAACTCAATCCCCTCATCTTGCCGTCCCTCCATCTCCATAACATGGGCTAAGGCATGAGTAGCCCAACAGTCCTTGGGAATCATCTCTAGTCCCTGAAGAGAAAAAAAAACGGGGGATTAAAGCGGCCCCCTCCACAGGCTTTCCCAAAGATAAGTGGGGATTGGAGAACACGCGAGCAGGCGAGACAAGCCGGGGGACGAGGTAGGGATTAAAGAAACTTTGTAACGATATTATAAACATCAACCAATACACACGCAACATAGTCTATTTTAGCACAGTCAAACACTGTTATTGCAGAGATTCAGTAAACCATGGAAAGTGTTTTTATCAACGGGGTGTCCGTATTAAGCCGGTTGAATTTAGAAAAAAAGGTAAGGGCTTTCTTTCTCCAGGGACAAAGCAACTGTCTGTAATAATGAGGCGTTCGTATTAGCAGGTGTCCGCTAAGTTGGGTCTGATTATATTATGATTGCTTAATACCGTACTGTGGCTATGCCAGTATGTCTATGCCACACAGACAGTTAACAGCTGTCAACACCCCACTAGTCAATATTTATCCCCTTACGCACGCTCAAGGACATTTACAGACTTTGAAATACCTCTCTAGCAGTTACAAAACCTGCGAGCAGAGGCTACAATTTCGCTGTGTGAGCTGTCGTGCGAAAAGTAGCCTCTGCCGACTTGCAACCGTTCAAATCCGTCCAGAAATCTCGACGAATAAATTAAAAAAAGGGTTTTTTTCCTGTTCTTGATCGGTTTAGACCATTGCGTGAGTCTTGCGTAGCAGATCAGAGTTGTCGCAATTTTTTTCTTTCCGCAAAAGTCGCAGCATTTGACGACAGACCCGACGACAAAATTTTGCTTGCGAATCGCGTGACGAATTTCGCGCATGCACGATAGAAAATTGAACGGTTGTCGGCAGAGGCTACTTTTCGCACGCCAGCTCACACAGCGAAAATGCAACCTCTGCCCGCAGGGTAGCAGTTACATTGTTCCCAGAAAGACAGGAGCCATAAAATCATAAGTTGTATAAATTTGTGCTGCAGGTTGAAAAGGAAAAACTTCATTGCATATGTTTTACCCTCCATTGGATCAAATTATTTTAAAAATCATTGCATACACTGTACCTTACGAGCTTGCTTCTCTGCTTCTCTATAGAAATTTGTCTCTTCTAATCCAAATGCATGCATGCCATAGAGATACCTACAAGATAAAAATAAAAAAATGTTTAGGAACAGTCTTTTTCATGGTATTAAGGAATGATTGTGGTGAGCAAGTACACCATAAAAGTACAACAGAGTGCTATCTCCAGAGTTAAAAGTTTTGTGGTCTCATTACAGTGGAGCTCTAGCACATAAAAAACTTTGATGAATATTATCTCTGCATCCTTACTGAAAAGTTCGGTTCTGAAAAAATCGTACGCACTTCCACCCGTTCATGTGGGCCAGGGTATAATTTTGCATTCAGGTAAACGCACAATTTGGAGGTAAATCACATAGCCACCAGAACTTTTAGAGAAAAACCAAACAACAAATGCCGAATCCTTTTTTCGACTAAATTTTAATGTCTACACTGAGGTGAATAACACAGAAAACAAACAGCATGAATAAAAACAAAGGAGAAGACTTTCATTATAAGTTATGTGTTTCCCTCCCTAAGAAACCCATATCCCTAGTGATATGCGTTCGCTTCCTCGGGAAACAAACATCTCTACTGATATGTGTTCCCCTACTAGGGAAAAACACATCCCTTTTGTTTTTCTCTGTTCCCGTACCTGGAAAAAAAATATCCCTAGTGATATGTGTTCCCCTACCAGGAAAACACACATAACTAGTGATATGTTTTCCCCTACCTGGGAAACTCATATCCCTAGTGATATGTGTTCCCCTACCTGGGAAACACATATCCCTAGTGATATGTGTTCCCTTACTCGGGAAACCCATATCCCTAGTGATATGTGTTCCCCTACCTGGGAAACACATATCCCTAGTGATATGTGTTCCCCTACCTAGGAAACACATATCCCTAGTGATACTTGTTCCCCTATCTGGGAAACATATATGTCTAGTGATATGTGTTCCCCTACCTGGGAAACACATATCCCTAGTGATATGTGTTCCCCTACCAGGGAAACACATATCCCTAGTGATATGTGTTCCCCTACCTGGGAAACACATATCCCTAGTGATACGTGTTCCCCTACCTGGGAAACATATATCCCTAGTGATATGTGTTCCCCTAGCTGGGAAAGACATATCCATAGTTATATGTGTTCACCTACCTGGGAAACACATATCCCTAATGATATGTGTTCCTCTACCTGGGAAACACATATCCCTAGTGATACGTGTTCCCCTACCTGGGAAACACATATCCCTAGTAATATGTTTCCCGGCCAGGGAAACACATATCCCTAGTGATATGTGTTCCCCTACCTGGGCAACCCATATCTCTAGTGATATGTGTTCCCCTACCTGGGAAACACATATCCCTAGTGATACGTTTCCCTTACTCGGGAAACCCATATCCCTAGTGATATGTGTTCCCCTTCCTGGGAAACACATATCCCTAGTGATATGTGTTCCCCTACCTGGGAAACACATATCCCTAGTGACATGTGTTCCCCAACCTGGGAAACACATGTATATCCCTAGCGATACGTGTTCCCCTGCCTGGGAAACTCATATCCCTAGTGATATGTGTTCCCCTACCTGGGAAACACATATCCCTAGTGATATGTGTTTCCCTATCTGGGAAACACACATCCCTAGTGATAGGAGTTCCCCTACCTGGGAAACACACATCCCGAGTGATACATGTTCCCCTACCTGGGAAACACATATCCCTAGTGACATGTGTTTCCCTATCTGGGAAACACATATCCCGAGTGATATGTGTTCCCCTACCTGGGAAACACATATCCTAGTGATATGTGTTACCCTACACAGGAAATACNGAAACACACATCCCGAGTGATACATGTTCCCCTACCTGGGAAACACATATCCCTAGTGACATGTGTTTCCCTATCTGGGAAACACATATCCCGAGTGATATGTGTTCCCCTACCTGGGAAACACATATCCTAGTGATATGTGTTACCCTACACAGGAAATACTATATGACATGTGTTTTTTCGGGTAGGGGAACACATACAGTTAGGAATTGTTCCCCACTAGGGAAAACACTTTCCACTAGCGATATGTGGTAGGGGGAACACACTGAAACACATGCAACATTTCCTCTATAAAACGTGTTACTATAGGAATGTACTGGAAGTTTGAGGACGTAGTTGTGCAAAACAACAGCAAAGAAATGTACAAAAAAGTGTCCAGCATGTGCAAAGTTGTTCTTTTTCTAATTAGACCTATTGTTTAGTTTTTTTTTGTCATTCGCATTGCCATAGCCATTTAGCATTGCACAATTCCATTTTTTTGTTTGAGTAAACTATAAGTATATTGACAAGAGCTTCGCTTTTAGCCCTGGCTCAAATTATCGTTAGATCATAACTCCTCTATTTATCTGCCTGTCTCTTAAGCTGTATTGTAATGTAGTTCAACTGCCCAGCCACCCTGTCAACTTCCAATAACCTCCAAGTCTGCATGTAGATGCCCCCTTTAAGTCTAAATTGAGAAACACATGTGTGTAATAAAAACAGTCTGATTTACCCATATAATGGCATTTCCTTTTTCCAATGTGGCAAGACTCTGGCAACACTGTCCCTTATCCGATCTTTCGGACCAAAGAATATGCTGTACTCCGTAAGAAGCTTTAAGGCAAGGATGTCTGTAGGATATTCTGCGACAATATCATCCCAACAATCTTGTGCCTTGATAACATTTCTGAAAATCAAAGCACAAGTCAGAGTAAAAGCAGGACTTTAGGCAATGTTGACGTAATGAAATTACCTACTGTGAAATAATTTTTAACTATATGGGGGAATAACTCTAATCTTAAGGAGGCGGGTTTAATGACAATTCCCCATGTTCCAAATGAGGGAAAAACTGTGTACCATATGCCACTACATGGTCTCTTGGGATTGTTTGGAGAGACAGCATGAGGGTCAACAAAGCTAAAAAAGCGCGCTTTTCTTGAGCGTAAATGTATTTCTAAAGCACGACAGTACTAACTGGGGACACTATTTTCATGTCTACAACTTGAGACGGGACCACCATTTAACATGGTTATCTAAGCCACGTGACGGTCAATCCGCTTGCACAGTGCAAAGGGAGTACCTTCATTTCTCAGTTATTTTAAGACTCTGAGTAATTGTCCGGCTCTAGGAATCAAACCCATGACCTCCAGCTCTGCTGCAGTCAAGCCCTCTACTGACTGAGCTAATCCTGCTGCGGCACACTACAAATATTACATGTAACATGTTCCAAACAGTGATAATACTAGTAGTTTCAGAAATGCAACTTATCTTCAATAAAATATTAAAGAATTCCAAAAAACCCTGATGCACTGTCAGGTATGTCTTTTTTACTCAGAATAACCTTGAGGGCGTCTTTATCAGGTGGTGTGCTACTGTCGGCAATGTTTTTACTGTCCCTCCAAACAATCCCTTATTAGAGCCTTTGCAGTGATGAGTCATACCAGTTCAGCGCTTGTTTAAAACAGAGCCAAATGAATAACTGGAATGAAACCCCGACAGGGGACCAACTCTGGGCGTGGTTCAGGCTTTATTTGACCCCTAAGAAAACACTATGAATCTAACACAACTAAGACAGCATGTAAAGAAACTAGTGTCCAATAGCTTGGGGCTTAGAAAGTAGATTCTGCTACTGGGCTAGTGAATTCTGTTCTCAACTTGCCCAATAGCAAGTCATGTTTTTGGGGACTTCAAATTACAATTAAGTATTTTCAGGCTAGCTAGTTAAAACAAATTTTGGGCTAGTAAATGCTGGACAGCTTGCCATTCAGGCAAGCTGTAAAACTAACTTTCTTTGCACCCTGTAAGAATTAGTACAGTGTATGATTTAACCCTTTAAGTCCAAATAGTGACCAACAGCAATTTTCTCCTAACAATATCCATACATTGTCATGAGATGAGGTTATGAGAGTTAATAAAATGATCACCGAAGAGAAAACACTTTGATCTTTTATCAAATTCTCTTCACTAATTCTTAAAGGAAATGTATAGAGATCAGTTTGGAGAATTTGTATGTGGATATTGGGGCTTAAAGGGTTAAATAGTTTTATACAATAATTGTAAGAAAAAACAATACCTTGCTGACATGTGTTTTATAGCCTCTACATACAGTTTCTCCCTTGCTGTCAACTCCTTTTTGGCCGATAAGGAGAAAATAGTATCCATAGAATCTTTGAGCTGAAGGGAAGTGGCTAAAACATGACCCATGACTGAAAAAAAAAATACCACAAAAAGCTTTAATTATTATTTATATTAACAAGAATTTAATTATTCTCAATGAATTGTATTCTTTTTCATTAGTCTCTTCATCATCTTGTCAATATCATTGTTATAATAATTTTTACCTCATGAAGATGAAGCTCTCCTTGCGACCACTCTTGTAAGTGGCCATGTTACAACCACCTTTGTGAAACCCCGTTTAAACCGTGACTTAAACTTTGTAATGAAAAGCTATTATAAGTGACCACTCCCGTAAAAGACGGCGACCACTTTTGGGATTACCCAAGTGGACTTTTCCTTTGTTTTTAAGCTCTTGTAAGTGATTACTCAGAGTCTTATTCATATACATTGTGTAAATCAACACCATGAAACTGAAGACTGCACTTTAAAATGGTTCATTGACAATGATTTGGGGGTTATTTAGTGTAAAAAATTTGACGTAAAGTTGCGCCTTGTCTGTATCAGATATAAAGACACTCATTAAACATAAAAGATTTCTTGTGTTTTTCTTTTATAAATTATTAATGAGTTTTTGAAGCTCTCATAAGCAGCCACCCTCTATTATTTCCCTACGCAGTCACTTATGAGAGCTTATGCATCCCTGCAGGTGACCAGCTCTTAAGTTACGACCATTTTTTCAAATTTCCAAGGTAGTCACTTACGAGAGCCTCAACTGTACATTTAGTTTTCTCATCAGGGTACATGACATAGCCAGACACAAATTCTTGCCAAGACAATACCGGTCCAAAATAAATAAAGGAGTGGAAGGTTCATAGAAACAAAATACCATAATGTCTTCTAAAAAAATATGAAGGGGGTATGGACATTTTCTGGAACTAAACAATAGGACTTAAAAAACAAAAACAATATTAAAACATAAAAAAGAGACGCTTACGAAAATCAGGATCAGCCTGAAGCATCTTTGAAACTGATCCTTCCAAACCTCCAACAGTTTGATCATCAGCATGAGCAATCACCTAAATTTGAAAAACAAGGGAGTCTATCGATATCCATAGGGGGGTTCTTCCTAGTAATAGGCTAATGGGGATGTGCCGCTGGATGGGGTAGCATTTTTATGACTGGTTGACTATAATGGGCTGTATTTTTATTAGAGTTACTAGAATGGGATCACACCTTTTGGGATTTGGGGGACTAGAAAATTCAGGTAGATATGGATTTAAAAATGGGAAGAGTTCATGTCATCACAGTTAACCTGTTTGTCAATTCATTTCAGGATGGGGAGTGCAAAATTACATTTCCCCTAAAGTGACTAAGATGGGGTCTATATTTGGCCACTGGATAGACTATGATGGGGTAGGGGTTCCGAGAGGCCACAGGCACACACCCAGCAAAAATTAACCCAAGTAACACCACCCCCACCTCCCCGATTAATATTCAATTTGCAACTTTGTAGGAGACTGGGCTGAGTTAGTTTTTGCAAAGACTTCTGTGATTGTTACTGGAGATGCACCAGTCAGCTATTGGCCAATTTGTTTTCCCTGTTTCCAGTCAAAGGACCAGAAGTCTTTGCAAAATTAATGACTTGACTCGGTTTCTTTCTCATTTCTAAAGTGGCGAATGAGATCACAAAAAGGAGTGATAATTATGTGTCAGAGCCTAAATAACAGTTGGTCATCTGCAGTCATTCATATCTGAATAACATTTGCCATGTTCTACCTAATTGGTAGAACACAATGAGAGATATTTACAGTCTGACTGCCTGAACGGGGGCACTTGGAAGAAGATTCAATCAGAAAGCCTTAAGATGCAAACAAAAGATTCTCAAGTTTTTTTGCAAACGGAACAATAAAATTCAAGGATCAACGATGCAACCGTTGAAAACTTCAGACCATTTAAACTTATCTAACCTCTCAGGAAACAGCACTCAAATCAGGAATGTTATTGGCCTGTTTGCAAAAAACTTAAGAATCTGTTGTTGACTGGTGTTGCAATAAATTGTAAACAACATGTTCATTGTACGTCAACACGTTATTGACGCAAAATATCAAAGAATACACTCATAAAAAAAATGATTGACTGGAGTTGTTTTGGACCAGAAAAGGAGTTCATAACATATTGTGGACTGGCCCTTTCTTATCAAATCCAGGAGAATATATACACAGAACTGATCTCCCTCACACCCCTCCTCTCATAGGAAATGTAGACCCCAGTAGAGTGGTCTAATTGTCTTGGGCAGTAGGGGTGGGGGGGGGGGAGACTGTGGTGCACCATGTACGTCTGTGACTGTAGTAACTGGATTGATACTCTTGTGATCTAATCCTACTGGGAATTGGTAAGACTATGGTAACTTAAATTAAATCTAGGAAATAATCAAATTAACTTGAGACAGAATCCATCAGGAAACTGAGTAATGTTCAATGTTAGACAAAAACCTTGTACAGTGGAACCCCGTTAATGCGACCACCGTTGGGCCATAAAATCCTGGTCGTAATAACGAGGTGGTCGCATTAACAGGGTCTTCAAAATAATAAAATGACTCAATGGTTTTTACGTTTGGTTTGAAAGAGTATGGCCGTAATAACGAGGTGGTCTTATAAATGGGGTGGTCGTAAGGCGGGGTTCCACTGTACCAGAATAATTTAAACAATATCACATTCGCTTTAATTAGTTATCTGTTAACACCAAAGACTATTTCTCATGGGAGCCCAAGAAAAAAAATGTCAAATTTCACAAGAATTATGAAAACACAGGTAAAATTCTGAAAATTTCATGTGCAAGATGTCATTTTGTAAAATTTGACATAATTAATTTCTCGGGCTCCCATGAGAAATAGTCTTCCGTGTTATTACAGATAACTAATTACATCTATAGCCCTTGAAGAATGTAAAAAAGATTGCAATATTCTTTAAATTATTCTGATACAAGGTTGTTGTCTACTGAAAATTAAAATTACTCAATTTCCTGATGGATTCCACCTTAATATTTATTACAATATACTATTTTCATAAGATTATTTTTGACACAGACCTGAGTAAGAGTTGCATCATACATTTTTGCGGCTTCATTACTTGTAGTACCCAAGCGAAGGCCTTCCTTTCTCCAAGCCTGTAGTTTGAACAGAATCACAACTGATTAAGATTGTTGGCTGCCTTTGCACTGATTATCTCTCACAAGTGCATATATCAAGTTAGCAGCCAATATGAAAAAGAGATTCAGACGGAATCCATCAGGAAATTGAAAAATTTTAACTTTCAGTGGACAAAAACCTTGTACCAGAATAATTTAAACAATACTGCATTACTTTTTTCATTTTTCAAGGGCTATAGATATAATTTATTATTTGAAATAACACCAAAGACTATTTCTCATGGATGCACGAGAAAATAAATGTCAAATTTCACAAGAATTGTGAAAACACAGGTAAAATTCTGAAAATTTCATGTGTATTCTGAAAATTTCATGTGTAAGCTGTCATTTTGTGAAATTTGACATTTTTTTTCTCAGGCTCCTATAAGAATTTTTTTTGGTGTTATTACAGATAACTTAAATTACATCTATATAGCCCTTGAAAATGTAAAAAATAATGCGATATTACTTAAATTATCCTGGTACAAGGTTTTTGTCCACTGAAAATTAAAATAATATTACTCAATATCCTGATGGATTCCTCTTAATCTACAGAAAGATTTTTTTTAATAGATCAACTGAACAGAAGAGCTGTAAATCAATATTTAGGTACAGCTTTAGGAAGAGTTTTTCAGGCTGAGTAGAGGATTAATATTTTGAGACGGTGATTTACATATAAGAACTGGGCGTGTTGATGAGTGCTAATGCCCCCCACATCAGTGCATCAGTGGATGATTAAACTTGTGTTAAATTATACACTTTTGGCATTTGACTTCCAAGCTTTGAAGAACAGACTCGCTTTGATTTTAATTTGTCAATTTATTTATTTATTTTGTGCCGATTAAAAATGCACACAACAACATCAGGCAATGTCAGCATTTCTTGATCTTCAGAAAAAATGAGGAAGTCAATGGACTGAAAGCTTCTCAGGGCAAATATAAACTCACTGAAAATCGACAGTCATAGTGTATAAAGTGTTGTAGTTCAAATTTATCCGCTTGGTTTAAATTTTAATTTCTCTCTGTTTTGAACTCATTATCATACATAACCATACCCAAAACAAATTTAAAATAAAAATTAAACCAAGCGGATAGAATTGAACCAAGCCAAACCAAACACAAAGAAGTTTAATAATTTTTGGGACTTTGGTTGCTTTAAATTAAATGAAGCTACAAGTTTTCCAGCAACTCAAGAACAGACCATGTAGAAAACTTTGCTATAATAATTTTCCACCCTAGTGTGCTAGATCAAAGGCATTATTCAGCAATATTTCAGGTAATTCTTTTAGCTTGGGTTCGATGGCCAATTATTATTATTATCATAATTACGGGACGCTTGTAAGTGTTTTTAAGCACAAAAGTTACCTACATCGACATCTCTCCAATGTGAATGTGTGCAGGACATATCTCCGTCGCCTCTTCTCTCCCAAGGATGTGTTACTCTCCAATACCTACCTTCGAATGACCGTGACCCAGCGCGCGCAAGGTACATATGCACAGCGCGAATTTTGCGGAGGACTGGAACACAGTCACGCAGTCCACAGTCACGCAATAAACTAAGAATAATTTGATACTTCCGGTAAATGGTCATACAACCAAAAAAAGACGGGAAAAAAACACTTTGGGGTTTTAACATTTAAAACAGGGTAGACTATGAAGCTGGTGCGTGCTGTATTTTGCATGTCCGTGGCGATAGAGAAAGTACTCGTGCGTAACAACCGCTAGCCACGCAGGCTAAAAGCAGCAGGTCTCTTATCCGGGGAATAATCCTTGTTCAAATCATTCCGGTGGAAGTGGCTTTCACGAGGCAAGGCCCTCTTAGAAAATTGCACGCTTCTTCAATTCTTCGATGTTTCCTCTTACAGGACTCAAGAAGCACCTCAAGCAGTAGACTAAACCAGATCGGAAAACAATAGAGTAGACCCTAGCCCTCATTCTCGTCCCAAGTACAAAAGAAACGACGGGCTAAGGGAAAGAGAATGTACGCTGCGTTGGAGTGGGGAGGTAAGGGAATATTTAGTGAGGTGGTTTCCTCCATACCCCTCCGCTATTCTGTCTACCACGCAGGCTGAGTATACCCCCCTCCCCCCACCCTCCATCCTATTGTAGGTCAACAGAGTCAAATCTCCTGGATGAAACAATGGGCTGAAATGACCTTCTTAATTAGCCTTCAAACTCAGTAGAGTGGCTTTCACGCATCCACTCTCTTCAACACACCCCGCCCCTGTCTTCGCGCGCGCTCCTTTCCGCTCCCAGTTGTCGCTTCCACGTTGGCACCTTCATTTAGTCTGTCTATAGGTTTTGAGGTGCAAAGGAGTAGAACTAGAAGTTTTATGTTCTCTCGATAAATGTTGCCGCACGTGAAAAGTCGCACATGACATGACAGAGAGCAAGAAACGAGAGCCTCATAATTTCCTGTTATTCTTTGAAAGTCAGTCTTTGATATGATAAGTAAAGTGAGACATCTGTTAAATGGAAAATTTATCCGATCGTGCTACCACTTAAAGTGTTATCGTCTAACTTTCTTAAGATACTGCTCATGATACAATTCCACTATAACAATGCAATCTTAACGTAAAATCTGTGCACATGGTAAACAATTCAACTGAAAATCTGTTTCGTCCAGTGTTGTTCAGCAGTTAATTATGATATTCACTTATGGTTGCGCATTTTTAACCCTTAAAGACATTGATAATGTAGTTTTTTGCCATTCAAGAAATTAAGCATTAAAAAAAATATTTTGATAAAGCTCTTTATCCAGCAGTTCTAAGAAACTGGTCCGGGCATGCAAGTGAATACATCAACAGCTGTCGATTGCACACACCCCTGAAGGTCAATCGTGATTAACAGTGGAGATAGAAAACTTCGGGTGTCGGTACCTTTCGTCTCATTCATCGCCAGCCTCAGTAGCAGTTGGAAGACTGAACCTAAAAAGCTACGGGTCTTTCCCGAAGATCTTCGAGCAGTTACTAAAGAGAGAGCAAAGGGGAATAATGAAGCAATACCTGCTTTTAGCCAGTATTGATGACTATGACTATGAAATCAAAGGTATAGTTGACAATGTGAACAGTTGCTTTTCGATATCATTCAATCGATGCAGTGGTCGAGCCATGGCGTCAGTCATAAGCCACACTTGATTGCTTTACTTATATATCACGATCTCAATGTTCAATTAGGGTAGCCCAGGTTAGCCTATTAAGAGTGAAAGCTGTTTGTAAATAAGCGTACTCGTCCGCGATCGCCTAAGCAGTTTTAGAGATAGAGTCGATCCACTATGTGGCGTGGGACAATCGGACCGATTGGGGCGATCCCAATCCCTTCTCCTTCCTCCCCCCTCCCACCTCCTTTCGCAATTGCCTGCTATATGCGGATTATAGAACTGAGGTCTACACGGATGATCAGGTCATTGTGAAATAACAGTAAATAATCATATGGAAACCAATCTGAAGTGATATGGTCAAAGGGGGAATTCGAAGATCTAACAGCAGGGGTATTATCGTGTTCGTACTGTGCGCTGGGACTTTAAGGTGAAAATTGTAGGCCATCAAAGCGATTCTATAGAAACCAGTGGATCGCCTGGTTCGAATAGCCATTAGGTACCAGGTGGCTGAGGAATTAAACTGGGACAGATCATCTTTTTTGAAGGGAGGTGTTCAAGGCAATATACATGTACTTCAGCTTTTTTTTAGTTTCTTTGCCATTGCGTGTGACGCCCCGTTCCCTAAAAAAAATCCAACATTCATTTTGCAAAATGCCTGGGGGGTCTAAAAACGAATAACTACTGTGTTAAAGTGGTGCATTTCGCCCACTGATCCACTTAATTAACCACCCACCCTACAAAACTCCCTGATTCGATCTGGAAATGAAAAGGGTTAACTTAGAATCTATTTTTCAGTTTTCTCAATGACACAACCTATAATCGTGCTTTTGGTGATCGTCATGTTGTGTCTTCATGCACGGAAAACTGAATTGGCGAAAGATCCGGTAATTTTTCGAGGCGGGGGGCTAGTTTAGTTAACTCGAATTGACCTTAGTTAGGTCAAGACCAACTTCGCGGGAGTGACATTATCAAGACTCATTTTGCCGGGTATTTACTTGTCATGATTTTTCATGTTCTTTAACGGTGTATTTCATTCAAGTTTCAGCTTAGTTCCGTCGTGGGCTAGTCTGCTACACAGCCGTTTTTAGAGTCGTCACGCAACGCTCCTCCTCACTAACTAGTGGGGAGGAGCCTTGCGTGACGACTCTAAAAACGGCTGCGTAGCAGACTATAGTCGTGGGCAGGTAGTTATAAATAGAGAGGAAAAGTTGTTACGTCACGTTGCCATAGCAGCAAAATTTTTGGATGACAATGCAACAAACCCAAACTTCACTTAATAAAGAGTAAATTCGCACAGTTTCAAACTTCATCGATCCTATTCAATTTCATTTAATTTGTCAAGTGTTGGCGAAATTGTCTGGATTGAATCCGAAAGGACCGTATCTGAGTTTAGAAAAAGAAAATGAAACTTTTTGTGTTGTGTTCACCTACTCCGAGAAGCCGGCGCGTGAAATTAGAAATTTTCATGTCGCAGTCGTGCAACGATGGCTGTAAAATGTGCAAAAAAGCGTGATGCACGTGTCAAGTTGTTGTTTTACTAATATAAACTAATTGCTCTTTTTTGCCATTCTCGTTGCCGTCGCTGTCGTTGTTGCCTAAGCTCCCTTTTTTGTGATCCAAACATTTTGCTACCATGGTAACGTGACGTCACACTTCTTCTTTCTATTGTTTTTAAAACTGTTTTATCCTTAGCCTGCGAGCAAGCTCTCCTATTTGGGCGAGTGAAACGAGTCTCGCGAGAACGCGCGAGTAAGCGGCGTTCCGCTTGCCCAAATAGGAGAGCTTGCTCGCAGGCTATTTTATCCTTTATATCGGATGGCACAAATTAGGGCCATAGAAAAATAAGACGTGTCCTAAATAAGGCGAAAAATGTCCCGCATAAGCCGATCATTTTAGCCTGCGTGCCA